CATCGCTATTAGCTTGAGGCCATCGCTAGTAGCTTGGAGGCCATCGCTAATTATCTTGGAGGCCATCGCTAGTAGCTTGGAGGACAGGCTAGTAGGTTGGAGCCCATTGCGATGTGTTGAGGTCCCAAAGGGCTTTGCGCAGCAGGTGGCCAAGGCGGGCGTGTTTCTGTGCAGTCGCGCAGACTTCGCACCGCGTCGCACTGCAGGCTTGCTTGGCTCATGGGCTGATCGTGCTTCCCACAGGGTGCGGCGTCTTCGGCTCTTCCAGATTAAGATAGATTAAGTCCTCCAACCTACTACCGATGGCCTCCCGCCTACTAGCGATGGCCTCCAGCCTACTAGCATTCTTTCTCCAAGCATTTTACTTCTTCCTTTTCTTTTCTCCAAGCATTCTCCAGTTTTTGTTCTCTGATGCATTGCTCTGATTGGCAGAATTCTCCAGAATCTAGGGGGAATCTCTTAGATCTATGTTTTTCTGCATATTTTAAAGCGGCTCTGTTCTTGAGCGGTATCCTGGGTTGTCCAATGACTATAGACATGCAGAGCACCTTCACAGAAGCTGCAGAGCTCTTGGCACTTTTGCCCCTCAAAGACCTAGCGCAAATCGATACACATTTATGTTGAAGACTTTGTGCAACACAATTGCGAAAGTTGGCTGTTGACAATAGGATTTTCGAGACCATTCGCATCATCCCACCGTTGACGGCAGGAAGCTTGGCCGTTTGATGCGGTTTGGCTGTTTCTTTGACTGTTTATTTTCACCACTTACAGATTGTGGTAGGTCAGCGAGGAGGAGTGCGAGCAAGGGCTCAAAATCTTCCAGGAAGCTTTAGAGGCCAAGAAAGGAACCACATAAATGGAGTAATTGATTGTTTGATGCGACCGAATGATGTGACTGGAGCATGGTGGAGCCCAAGGCTTTTACGAGAAAGTGCTCTTTCTCGTTCCTAGTAGTAAGATGTAGTAAGGTATATAATAAAGGCCAAAAGATGCTAAAAGGGATAGTAGTGATTTGTTTTTTCTGGAGTCGGAAGAGAGTCTGTAGGCGTGCCTGACCTGAGAGCGAAGATAGCTTTGCCGGTCGAGCTCCAAAGCGAGCAACTTTTGAGATGAAGGCATCAGCCACATCAGCGGGGACATCCGGTCACAGCCAGGATTTGACCCCGAGTTTGATACAGCACAATTGTACAGCATTTGCCACATCGGCAAAGGGTTTGCCTGGGCCTTGGCATTGATTCCGAAGAAAGCTGCCGCATTGAAAGTCCACTGAGCCCCTTGGATGGACATGTTTCGTTCTCAGTGGATCGGAGCTTTTCGCCTTTCCACCCGAACAGCCCCACAGCCTGGCGCCGAGCCGAGCTCTCGACATGAAGAACGGTATCCGCGCAGTTGGAGGCCGAGCAAGGAGGCCTTACGTCTACAGGTTTCTGGTTTAGTAGCTTGGAGGCCACTCTTCGTTTGGCCATCGCTAGTTTGGAGGCCATCGCTACCAGCTTGGAGCGCACCACACCGGAACCCCGAGGGCGAAATCCAGAGTGTTTGGAGTGAAATGGACTGAAGGTCTGAGCCAAGAGACCGCAGCTGTCGGTAGTAATGGGACGAGCTTCCTGTAAAGCATCCCATCTACCTAAACCAGGGCTGAGCCTAAGACTAAAACAATGAGATACAGTTGGAGACAATCTCTGAACTTTTTTGTTCAAGCTAGGTTGGAGGCAATAATATTGGCAATTGGCTGCCAGGTCATGTCTGAACATGTTTTCAAGCTGGCGCATAGCTTTTCAGCAATTCAGCGAGCCATGCTGGTCAGGTGTGGCGCCAATCTCTGCGAGCCCGACCATGCCGCTACGCCTTGCGCGGCGGCCGGGAAAGCTCAGAGGGTGGATGAAACGTTGCATCCGATGTGAGGACATGTGTCAAGTTTGGCTTGGGAGTGGATGACGAAGTTCTTCTCTGAGATGTTTTGGCTCTTTTCATTTCGGCCGCAGGGAAACTAAGCTCGATCTGCAGGAATACCTATGACTGGATCGGGGCAGAAACATTGAGCCTAATCAGGAAGATCGAAACAGTGGGAGATCAGCCCTACCCTAGAGGGGTCTTCCCCTTGCTCTGCTGGCTTTTGTGTTTTGCCAAGTTTGAAGAAACGGCTCAGGTCGAGGAGCTTCTCACTTGTGATGTGGGTGTGTATTAAAATAGGGGGGGACCCCAATCAATGGGTTTCGCGGCTTTGCCTCTTGTCTCAGTTGAGTCTGTCTGGACCCCACCGGATTTTCACATGAGAGGTACAGGAAGGTTAGAAGTGAATTAGGCTCCTCCTGAGGCACCACGAGGAAAAACCCTTGGCACCACCAAGCTGCTGAAAACGAGGATGCAAATACTGCCAAAGCTGCTGGAAAGCATCAAAGCGAAGCACTTTCTGCGAAGCCACCATGTGATCGAAGCTTGACAGGACGGTCAAGGACGACTTACATAATTGTTTGCCTCGAATGGCTGTCGCATCAGCTTCTTGGCCGTGAAGGTAATTGGCATTCCTTCCATAAAAGTCGGTTGTGTTACACACTCAAGCACCTGTAGACCTTGTTTTGGCCATCTGACTCGCAAAATCTCCGCCTCATGGATAGTCGAAAAATTGCGAACTATTCTGACCGCAAAGAAAGCACAGTCACAGTCCTGCTTCATGTCAGATGCCAGCGCTCGACATTCATGGAGTCGGAGCTGATGTTCATTGTGTGTGTACCACATTCAGCAGTTCTTGGTAAAGAACCAAGACAAACGGCCTGGATGGCGGATGCTCAAGTGACCATCTGCTGAAGCCCCTCAGGAAATTCACCGCGCAGAATGAATGGCATTCCAAACTTCCGTGCAGATCAACCATGTCGTGCGGTCCTCCCGCTTGTGAAAGCTCGAAAGGAGGCCCAAGAGACGCGCCGAAGATGCTGGTTGAGAAATGCCCGGCTGGAAATCATCAGCTCTCGCCTTCTTTGCCAAAGGAGCCACAGCTCTCACAGAGCTCTTGCACCTTCCCAAGAACGATTCAGAAACACCGACAGCATGCCCCTCAGCGTTAACTTGTTTCAGGCTCTTCTCAAAGGCGGAGCAAAAGGCTAAAAGCATTCAGTCAGGATCTCTGGCAGCATGGGCTTTCTGGAATCTGGCTCCCTGTGTGTTGCAGCATTCAGAGGTCTTGGTTTGGAAAACCTCAGGCTCCTTAGAGTTTCTGGGCAAGCTCCAGGTTGTCCGCAGGCTTGACATCGGGCTGCCCCCCCCGTGCATTTCACAGCCGCGTATGGCCAAAATCGCGCCAGCCAGTGGCCAGAGCAAGGGCCAATGTGGCAAATCCTCGAAGTCGGTGTTCATGTCCCCCACAATGAGAGCAGGACCTTTGTAGGCCACCCCACGACGCACAGTTTGCATAAGTGCGAGGAGTGCTTTCAAGATCTTTGGTGAGACTTGTGTCTTAGTGTGTAATTGGACCATACAACGCAGCCGCATAGATGCCAATGCCGTGCCCCAAATCACAGATTCCATCACGGAACCCTAGTGGACAGAGCAACTTCCTCAGGCATAGTAGCCGGATGTGGGCGAATAGGCCATGATGAGAGGATGGCCGTGCCACCCGCTCTTCCACGTAGTCCACCGTTAGAGCCCTTCTGGTTGAGAGACAGCGCTGAGACTTCGGTAGGTGACTGGACTGCTTGAGCTGAGCTGCAACTTCAGCTGCAATCTGCCTGAATCTCACTTTCACATCTTGTTGCCACCAATCTTGGTACCGCATACTCATCTGGACATGCTTGGCCGACAAGGTCAAAGATGAAGTAGACTTCAATGATGAAGTGGACTTCACTCTCTCAATGACTGTGACACCAATATGTTGGCATGTTGGTGGCTCCTTTGCAGCGACCAACCATGAAGCCATGCCCTGTAGCCTGACAACTTTGGCCGCCCACCCTGACTTGGGAGCCTCAGATAGGACGAGTCGCGACTTGGTTGCGGAACATTCCGTAACGTAAGAGCAGGAGCAGCGCCGACGTAATGCAGCATCGATAGCTTCAGCAGTTCGCGGAAAGTGGTGAAGCGCGCGCTTCACGCGACGAGGACCAGCGCTGTGATCTGGAGCTTTGCGATTCCTCTGACGCCAGATTTAACATTTGGTCCAAGAGCGTGTCAGCAACCTTGATGTATCCCTTCCAAAGAGACGCTTTCGGATGAGTGTATAGCTGACAATCATCTCCAAAGCACTGGAGTGCCCCACAAGAAAGGAGATGACACGCTTTGCCCAGGAAGTTGAGGGCTTCGGATGTGAGCTGGAATTTGGATTGGGAAAGCCTTGCAAGTCCGAACCAACCAGCCTGCCCAATGCCTCGCAAAGTTTCACCTGCCACATCGGCTTGAGTGTCGCAGCCATGTTGGGCGTCGTAGACATTCGTAGACGCACTTAATTGAGCTTCTTTTGCAAGGCTGAAAGACAATGCTCTTGGCCGGACAAGCTCGCCCTCAGATGAGCCATTAAAAAAAAAACATTACACATTCCCCTTTCTTGCACGCAGCGACGCTTTGGTAACAAAGGCGGAAAGACGATCAACCACAGGACCATGACGCAACACAGTCCAGTCTTTCTCTTCACATCAGCAGCTGTGGATCCAACCGTATTAGCGCCCAACAAGTCAATGATTTGGTCCAGGCAAACTCAGGGTCAAAAGACAACTTGCCGGGCGAAAGGCTCCAAAACAGCAAAAGAAATTGCAGGGCAAATCGGCATCCTCACATCAAAGACATCTTGGCGCGTGAGTGAATAGCCACATCTCTCAGCCTCAGTCAAAATCAGAGCGAAGTCCCAATGCTTTGCAAAGCCTGGGACATTTTCCCCGGCGAAAGGCTGGCGCCCAAGGCTTCGAATAGGAACGATTCCGGTGTCAGAATCCTCCACCCCAGAATCAGTCACCGAACACAATCATTTCACAGACACAGAATGGTCGATGTCAACCAAAAGCTTGCCAGTCCTGAGAACCAATCGAACGATGAAAGTGCACACCCACTATCCAAAGTGGGGTGGAGCAAAATGGTGGATTCGTTAAAGATGCAGTGTGGCGCCCAAAGGAAAGGTACGATGACTATGTCATATGTTCTTGGTGCGACATTCCCAAACCAGTGCTTCAATCCCATCTTCAACATTCTTCAACATCCGGGCATGAGCGCCCAAACACGACGTTCACAAGGTCACCACGATGCCAGTCCATGGCTACGCTACGCGACACCACCACGCTGGCGATTAGCAGGGTCCGCAGCGCTGGAAGGTGCCACCGCTTGAACCAGAAATTCCGAATCAATGGGTTAGTGTATCTCCCTTCTTCCAAGGGGTCTTTGGGAGGTCTCCCTATTTAAAAGCACTCCCATGTGCTCATGCGCGATTAATTCCCAGCCAGATGTGGAGGCTCTTACAGGGCTTCGCTTCAACTTATTCAACTTGCCTCTTCCTTTCAGGTCTGGTGTTTGGCACGGCTCCTCAGCATAACGAGAAGCGGAAATCACATTGACATGGTCGTTGCCCGAACAAAGACGCCGATGTTGTTCACCCATGTTTATTTGCCGTGCTCAAGTTCCCCGACGTTAGCCAGCGGCTAGTAGGTGGATGTACTGAAGACAAACGTTGAGTAGCTCAGACAGGACTCACATTCACATATATGACTTGTGTAGACCTTGGCACAGATTGCGCAGCCACACAGCCATGGCGGCCAACCCCAAAATCCGAAGGATGTATGTGGATTCCCGCGATGGGAAAGAACTTTCGTGGGAATTTTTGCAGAGGCATGTAGCGAGACGTTTGTACATATTGGCGAAAGATGGAGGTGAACAACCCAGTAATATAAAAAACTGGAACAAACACGTCAAGGAAAAGTGGCTCTTAGGGGCCAGAGCGAGGAAGATTTGGCAGCAGTTGGCTGTGAAGCATGTGCCAGTGATTCACGAATACGGTGAAGGGGGGATGCCCTTTCTGGCGCAGGTTGAGGAGGTTTGCAAAGCTTTAGACGTTGAGAGACACCAAGATGAAGACCTAAAATTGGTCGAACACATTGTCCAGCACAGTCCAAAGCGCCCAAAAATGATGGGCCCACAAAATGATGAATGGGTGTTTCCCGAAAAGGAAGAAGTGGAAATGGTAAGGCTCAGAAAGATTCCAAAGTCCTCCTTTGACCAGCCCGTCCAGTGGTCTGCAAACTATTTCACGCAACAAATCCTAGAAGACGAAATGTTGAGACAGATGGAATTCGTGGACGTCGAAGATGGCAAGGAGGCTGAAGATTCTGAGGTGAACCCACTAGTGAGGCCACTGGACAACAGTGAGAAACTTCAGGACGCGGCCTACGTATCTCCCTCAGATGAACCAGTGATACACTTGGTCCGGTTCCTCCGACTGCAATCAGCCCACGATGCGTGGCATTTGCGAGAAGTGCAGGAAACCGTGTGCACCGCGCTTGGCATCCCTCTTTTGCGCAGCTCAGTGCGAGAAGAGACGTTCCCTGAAGATCAGGGCACACCAATTTGGGCTCGTGCTGGAGGAAGGCTTTATCGATCGGCCTGCAGGCATTGCGTCACATCGCGGCCTGAACAGGTGTTTGAGCATGCTTTCGACGCGATCCCAATAGGACAGATAGAGAACAATGAATTCAGCCAAATTTTGCAACTCTGGCCGGTATATTGTACCTTCAGGCTTCAGGGTGAGCGACCGATGGACACTGTCCAGTGGCTCGCATTTGGAGATGATGAAAAACCCATTGCCACTCGAGAGGCGGAAGACCGCGAAAGCTGTGTCTCCGCACTGCTCGGCCTGGTGCCAGGACCTTGCCTGGCGGAATCACACTGGCACCTGTTTGTGGCCAGGCTGTTGCTGAGTGTCCACAACGACCTGCAGCTCTTTAGTCAAGTGCAGCTCCCATTCTGTGCTCATGACGCGCGGAAGGACACTGCACTCAGATGCTACACACAGGAGATGCCTCAATGTACAGCATCCCAACCACCACATCCTCAGGACCTTTGGGAATCAACAAAGCGCTTTTTGACGATCTCGCTTCAAGCTCACGGTCGAGAAGGAGAAGTGGATGGAATGGTGGCCCAGTTGCGCCAGCAGTCGGAAGGAATCGTGGACGTTGCTCCGGAGTTGTGGAAGATTCTTTTCTCAGGGAATACTCCAGAAGCTCGTTGGGGAGGCTTGTGCAGGTTGCTCGAACGGTGTGAGAACCTTGAGGCCAATGTCCACGAGTCAGTTCTAGCAGCTTTGCTTGCAGGGTATCCGAAGCAGTTCAATTTGAACGACAGAGTGGCCTTGCCTTTTTCGCCAAAAGAAGTCCCTGCGCTGCAGGCTGCCCTGCAGTTCTTATTGCTGCTGAAGGAAGAGCCCTCAGAAAGCGAACTGGCGCGTTTTCTTGCTCAACTGCGGAAAAGGGCCGTGGGCCGACACTTGAGAAAGATCAATCCGCAGTTCCTTGGCAAAGAAGAACTGCCCAACATGCGTCGATTTGGAGCCCTTGTGATTGACTTCATGGCCTGGTGGAAATACCTTCAGGAGCACGAAAGCACGCACGAAGGCCCATTGGAAACGTTCTTCCGGAACCGCGGGCAAATCTGGAAGCAGTTCATGGAACAACACCTTCCCAAACCATGGGAGAACACTTACAAAACACCACGGCTTCGAAAGCCTCTTTCGCATTCCCAGGTTGAGTACCTCAGAGCATACTTGCTCAAGATTGAGTGGCCAGACATATACACGATGCAGAGACTACAGCGACACGTGTCCCTCCGTACCCAGGCTTCCTTTTATGACTGGAGAAAAACCGAACTTCCACAGCTTAAGAGAACCACAAAAGCTTCACCTCGGGTGCGTCGCCCACGCGTCCATCGGCGGCTGCACCGCCTTTGGGCGGCGTCTAGACACAAGGCTGCCCGCCGGAATATTTGCCGGCCTGCTCCACCCAATCCCTATGCACCTCGAGCTGCGCAACCTTCTGCCAGTGACCCTGCTGGTTACAACGAAGCTGGTGGCAAAGCTGGTGCTGAAGCTGATGAGAATGCGGGTGTGAGCCAGACTAGAGAGAACGATGCCATTGTGAGCGAGTTTAGTGACTCCGACTGGAGTGACAGCTCCACATAGTGGCTCTACTGCTGGCCACACATCCAAAATGCTCAGCAGCTGAAGCCTGTAGCCTTGCAAAGTGAGGGGCGATCATGTTCGAGATGGCAAAGCGAAGGGGCAGGTTTGAAAAAGATGGTGCCGAGCATTGCCGAGCCACTTGATGTTCACTTTGTATGGCAACCATCTCTGCACTTAAAGGAGTTTCACCTTTCTTTCAAAGCTTGACAAAATGCACAGGTTGGAAGACCCTGAAGAATCCTGAAGACGTCAGCCAGCACAGTCAGATGCCCATGTTAGTCCCTAACTTGTGGGCTTTGCATGTTCAAACGGTCGAAAATGATCCCTCTTGGCTGTAGCTTTCAATTTCACTTGGAAAACATCCCCCGACAGCCCAAGGTCTGAACAAGAGTTGGCCGCCTTCTTGCACAAGGCCTGCAAGTGCACATCGCGAGCTCCAAGTTTGGTCAGATTGTGGTGAATTTTTCCGACTGGGTGTGGCATTCAGGGTCTTTCCGCCTGAGACCTGAGGTGTGAACGGGTTTGAACTTAGAGAAGTTCATTTCCTTGGTTCAGTCATTCAGTGAGAGCCAGAGGTTCAACATGGTTGTTTCTGACAAGTTGTTTCATTGATTGTTGGCTGTTTGACCTCCGCAGTCGATCTTGTTTCTTTTCCTTCCATGTTTCATTTGTTGCTTACAGCGCAGATTTGTAGCAAGCTTGGCCCATATGCACCAGCATTGTTCAAAAATCAGTGAAGGGTTGCTCGCCATGGCCCGAGAGAGAAGAGATTTGCAAAGTTTTGCTGATCATGAGCTTGGGAAGAAGCAAATCACCACCAGCTCTCTGACCGCCCGATCCGCGCGATTTTGGAATTTTGATCCTGGAACAGCCAAGCAGTCCAATGCGTCAGGATGTGACAGCTTCCCAGAGTTGCAGTTGATCATGCGGCAGTCCTATCACAATGAGGTGGAGAAGCACATCCGATAGATTACTCCGGACCAGACCGAGCCCTTCTAGAGGGCTTTTGCCCTCGTGCCAGGCTTTCAGGAGCCAGAGATCATTGGTTGCATGCCTGGCAACCCAAGACAATTTGCAAATTCTCTTTTCAATTCAAGGAGATGAGTGAAGATGTGCCAAGGTATGATCAGTCTGTCTTAATGGAATGCAGACAGAAAGATGCTTCACGGACTTGGTGCTGGAGATTTGCAGCTGGCAAAGACAGGCAGCTGGAACACTTAACTTGCCCGCAGAAGATACGGACTTTTTGAGCTTTCTCTTGCCCTCTTGCCACTTGTCTCCATTTGACGTACCTTGCCCCACTTGCCAAATCTGTATCCCCGCGTCTGAAGATACGGACAAGCCCTGCCCTCTCTCTCTTGCCCCAGAAAGCCCTGCCCCAACCCTGCACATCCCGCGATGTGCCCCGACAAATGTGCGATTGGAACAACTCTAGCAAGGACGCTATTAGGGGCTCCTGGCCATGCTACTAGGAGCAAGGAAGCTACTAGAAGCTGGGTACGCCAAGAGCAGTGCAGTCGCAAAATTCTATTCTCGTTTGACTGGAAAGGGCGTAGCATGGCAAGAATGATTTTTGTGACATGTTGCGTGTACACAGTGGAAGAAGGCGACCATGTGTTCCCGCGACTCATGGTCGGTGAACACTACTTGCCTGGCGATTTCCGCACAATGGAAATCATGGCCATGTGGACCCTCAGGCATTCTCGCTACTAGGAGCAAGGACGCTACTAGGGGCTCCTGGCCGTACTACTAGGAGCAAGGAAGCTATTAGGGGCTCCTGGCATCGCTAGGAGCAAGGACGCTATTAGGGGCTCGTGGCATCGCTACTAGGAGCAAGGACGCTATTTGGGGCTCCTGGCATCGCTACTATAGGAGAAAGGACGCTATTAGGGGCTCCTGGCATCGCTACTATAGGAGAAAGGACGCTATTAGGGGCTCCTGGCATCGCTAGTAGGAGCAAGGATGCTACTAGAAGCGAGCCGTGGGAAGCAGGTTCTGGACTTGCAAAGAGTGCATCGGGGGGGACTGGCGGGTTGTCTCGAAGAAAGCCATAATTTTGATCCTGACAGACCCTCAGGTGGTTTCGTTGGATAGATCGTTCGGGCCTGGGATGGCCTTGGAGATGAAGGGATGGAAGCTTTCGATCTCACCGTTGTGACGGTTCATTGCTCAGCGATGGGGCGTTGCTTTGATCAAGCAGCAAAATGTACAGGACTCGTTTGCAGCAAACCTACTTGTTTTTTTTGAGAAGTTCTTTTGTTTGGAAGGTCGACAAAAAGACGCCAGCTCCTCGAAAGGCATAATTTTTGCGGATGCAGATGAAGCCATCGGACTTCAAAAGGAAATAAGAGTGGAAATAAAAGTGAACTCTGACTCACTAGCATGGAAAAGGAGTTCGCCCCTCGAGTTTTTTTTAAATGTATTTGTACAACTATAAGTAACAGCGTGTTGACTGGTGCGGTCCCGGTGGACCAAAGCGTTTCCTTTTTTGATTTGTCTAGTACAGTTGATGATCATGACAATGAGCTGGCTTCGCCGTCCCATGGCTGAGTCCACGCGCATTGGACATGGTCTTTTGCAAATAGTCATTAAGATGTAGCAATGCTTGGGGACAAGGGTTTCAACATGTTTCAACCACGGGAATGGTCAGGGGGTGAGAAAGAATCATGTCCTTCCGGGAAGGATGCTGCATACGACTACAGCATTGACCTCTGCCACACCAACCACTGCAGCTACATCAGGTAATTCTGGAAGCATTTCAGATTTGCGAGTTGCCGACCCTTTAGCTCGTTGCCTTTAGCTGCTATAGCTCCCACTTTTCCATGGGTGAAGAGTTGGCCACAGAGGACCGAGATGAGAATCCAGGAGACACCCATGGGGCGTTCAGCTGAATCTGGCAGACCGGCGACCAAGCCCGACACCTGTGAATGGTGAGAATCTTGAAGCGAATCAGCCTGCCATTGTTTGAATGGTTCCATCTCAAGCACAAAAAATACAAGGGTCTCAGTCTCAACAGAGTACTCGTTCAGACAGACCCAAAGCCTCTGCTTGCAAACTCAACCAGAAGTGCGCTGTGGAGACTTGCGAGTCGCTCGAAGTTGACTCGCCTTGAAAGGTCCCGACACCTCTGAGTGAGGCGACTCACAAAGCACGCCCTCTCTCAGACTCAGAAGAAACTGCGATCGTTCCTCCCAAAGAGGGCGAGCATTGCGTACGGCCCAGAGAAGAGGGCAAGAAGAGGGCACTCTATCCCCTTTGCTACTAGTAGCCCTTTGTTCCTAGTAGCGATGCCCTTTGTTACCAGTGCATCTTCAGCTCATGTCATCGCCATCGATTCTGAATTCTCAATTTCAGAGGAGGAACAGCAGTCGTTCCAAAGAAATCATTTCCCTGCCCGTGGACGTCTACCGTGTGGAACGCAAGATGGATCGAACGTTGTAACGTTGAACTTCACACAAGCCGTGAGCCCAACCGTTCGTGATGGTAGACCAATTTTTGATCTGAATGTTCTCAGCTTGCAGAAAGTTGATCGCTTGAGGGAGTTGGAGCCTTAGATGTGGTATGGCAGAACGGGCTTTGGAGGTCCTTGTCCAATCACAGGCCAGGCTTTGGGCATTGAAGCACTGCACTATTGCCATGACATGGCGACCTCTTTTTGTTCGTGTGCGGGTGCGTCCAGCGGATGCCGAATATCGAGCCAAATCCACAAGTACAATTGACGGAGTGGTCATCAGTTTTGGTCATTTCGAGATCGCGGTCACCTTCACCAACTTTTAAGGCGATTTTCGAAGTCATGCTGCCTCACGGGCAACACTCGTTTGTGCCCGATCACTCTGCGAACAACAGTCCGCAAAAAAGTCTGTGCAAGTCGTTTCTACCTGAATCATTTCGCTCTTGAACATCACAATAAAAGCACCTGTCCTGCCTTTTCATTTCCTGTTGTGGTTTTGGAGGACATCCAGTTCTACGGCGTGCCGCCCGGAGCACGTGGGAGCCTCGGCTGCCCGCTGGGAATCCGTTTCAGACAGTGTGGTTTAGGCAAGAGTTCCTTATTATTCCTTATTCCTAGTAGCGATGCCCTTGTTACTAGTAG